CTTACTCACGTAATAATTTGACGAGGAACTCGACTAGTTTCAAGCCATGCTAGAGGCTCATATTCATGAGCAGCATTTCGCGACCCGCGACGCGGCGACTGTCGCTGGTACTGTCGCCACGATAATTTATTTAGTATGTTTTTTTTATGGCATAAGCCGGTAAACGAGCAGACGGGTCACCTGATGGTAAGCAATCGGCGTCGCCCATGGACACCTGGAACACCAGAGGCGTTACAAGTGCGTTACCGGCCTTTTGGGGATTGGGAGTTTGAGGATCGTTGGGAATTCAGGGATTGGGGAGATTGGGGAAAGGGAGGGTAATAGGCATGGCGACTATTTTTTAATTTTTTGTCCGTCTTTTAGATATTTTAAAAATCTTCGATACGTATTTTTTCTTTTTTCTCGTATCCAAAAAAACATGTAGATATTTTGAGTTAAAATGACGCGTGACGTCACAATTAGGTACGATTTCTCCGTAAGTGTGACGTCAACACCCCCCACTCCCTAACTTTAATGCGGAATAACTACGTATTCTTCTGTTAATTTGATAAAACAAAAAATACGTGTCTGATATTTTCGTGCGATCTTAATGACGGACTAATTACTTTTTTGATTTTTTTACCCTGTCGACACGCCTATTGGGCCTCCGGTAACCTCACTCACACGACGGAACACAATACAAGCGTTGCTTCACGTCGGTTTCCTGCTCGGCCGTGGTATCACTCTGGTCGAGCCGGCCCATTCGTGCCGAAGCATGGCTCTCCCACACTTAAAGTGTGTCTATTATTTTGTTCACAGTCTTTCACTGACGTGAAGCCGATACTATCACTGCTCACAGTGCTACTGAGTCTTCAGCAGACTGAACATAGTACTCCGAAGTGGTGCCACTCCATCGTACCCTCGATTGTCCACCTCGCCAGGTTCTATAGGCAGGAGCCCGTGAAGATGATCCAGGAGATGCCTGACGATGAGGTAAGGTACAGGTTTTTTGTGGTATAGGCCAAAAGAGCAGACAAACTATGAAACTAAAGACTTATGGCGACTTATGTCACACGTCAAATGACAGCATGACAGTGCCTTTAGTCGAACGCCACTTTACCGCTTGTCTACATGCTAGCTAAGGAGGAGGCGGGACGCGTCCTCGCAACCCAGCCATCGCGAAGGACACACCGGGCGTCGGGGATCGCGGGACGATTTTCGGCCACCGACAGCGCGGGCCGGACGACATAGAGCATGGGTGGCTCCCCGTCCGACCAGAACCAGACCCGAGCGTCGAGCCTTCCGCGCGCGCCTCAAAGAGCCATCAGACCACCACAGATGGGGCCCAATAGGGCCGATGCCGATTCGGAGTCGCGGAGAACCTAACGGGTAACCGGGGCTCCGGCTCGACGTGCAGGAGAAGGAACGGGGTGGTTTTTAGTCAGTAAGAGTCTGACACTCCCTCCCGCCTCACCCAGGCGGGAGCAGTCATTCGATGATTTTTCCCCGTTAAAAAAAAGCGCTTGTCTACGGAGAGAGTTGAAATAAAAATGTATGGGGATGACACTGACAAGTGTCAAAATTTACGTCAATTTCATATAATTTGGTTTTCTACTCTACATGTAGACAAGCGCTAAATGGCATTTGGCTACAGCTGCTGGTCACGCACATATACTATCCATAAAAACAAATCAGCGGATGACGTCACAAAAATCCTACATCGCATATGTGAAGTTTACATGCAAATTAACACGGATAGACAATCCCAACGAACAACTGTTGGGCAGAAAGCCCGCCTGGCACGAACACCTCGCTTGGTCGGAGGATCCTCCTTTTCCGATCATAGGGAACTTCACTCTCTATTCCCTAAAGACTTGTATTATGAGCCCGATTGTAAAGAGTAACCTATGGAATTTCTTGCTCGTTCTTCTACATAGGAACCTACACCTTGGAACGACCAACTAGAGGACTGACCGACAGACTGACACTGTTAACCGACTTCAAAGAAGAAGGTGGTTCTCAATTTGATCTGTATGTATGTGTTTCTTGCGCGATTTTCTCCCGATTGACTGAACAGATTTTGGTGTTAAATGGCATTAAGTGCCATAATGCACCTCTTCTTAAACCTTCGGGGATAAAAGGCGTGATGTTAAGTTAGTTAATAACGATAAATTTTCTCAACAGATGCCGTATGTGGAAATATTCAAGGAGGACACAGTTTACAAGACACTGCTCACTCTCATGTCTACAGACAGACGCGCTATTTATGACGGGACTCTCTCCTCGTTTCAGGTAAGTTTATGTTATACTAGCTTTTTACGATCTCCGGCCACCGTAAGCGCGGGCCTGCGGACGGCGAGCATGGGTGGCTCCCCGTCCGACCAGAAACAGACCCGAGCGTACGGCGCCAAGCGTTCCGCGCGCGCCTCAAAGAGCCAGACCACCATAGATGGGGCCCATTAGGGCTGATGCCGATACGGAGTCGCGGAGGACTAAACGGGTAACCGGGACAACGGCTAGACGGGCAGGTGTAGGAGCAGAGTGGTTTTTAGTCAGTAAGAGTCTGACACTCCCTCTCACTTCACCCAGGCGGGAGCAATCATTCGATGATTTTCCCCCCCTTTAAAAAAGTACTATACTCGGAATTTTAATTCGATTCCAGATTTGACAATTTCAGTGTTGCAACGTTATGACAAGTACTAAATAGTGACGTTACGAAATTATTCGATATGGAATGGCAATATTTCTGGATCGATTCTTCTCGTTTATAATTTTACTCTCGTAAACTAAGTATATCAGGAAATTAAATATTTCTGAACCGATAATTTAGTTTTGACGATTAATTAACTATCTGAGACTTTTCTTTTATAATTGTGTGTGAAATAAATAAAAAAATATAATCATGAAGGAACATGAAAAATAAAACAGATAGATGTATTATGGTAATAAGTTTCGCTATCGCTATCCTGTCACTTTCTGTAACATTTATATAAAACACACACACTGATTGTTTATCGATTTTTGAGTTCATCACTACACTATTATATGTGGTATCATTATTTCACAAAATGACAGTAGCTATTGTCAAATCTGGAATCTAATTAAAATTCTGACTATAGCTTCTTCCAGCGGCTTGGCTCTCGTTCCCGTTGGATAAAAAGTACCCTTTGTGTTATTCCAAACCATAATCTATCCCTGTTCCAAATAGGCATGGCGACTATTTTTTAATTTTTTATCCGTCTTTTAGATATTTTAAAAATCTTCGATACGTACCTATTTTTTCTTTTTTCTCGTATCCAAAAAAACATGTAAGTAGATATTTTGAGTTAAAATGACGCGTGACGTTACACTTAGGTACGATTTCTCCGTAAGTGTGACGTCAACACCCCCCACTCCCTAACTTTAATGCGGAATAACTACGTATTCTTCTGTTAATTTGATATAACAAAAAATACGTGTCTGATATTTTCGTGCGATCTTAATGACGGACTAATTACTTTTTTGATTTTTTTACCCTGTCGACACGCCTATTCTATCCCGATCCCTTCAGCCGTTTTGACGTGATTAAGTAACGAACCCTCATATAAAACTGAATAAGCAATATATTATTCTAGGAATTTAGTACCCAGCTATAAATATTACATATTTTTTATGGCATAAGCCGTAATATGTACGAGCAGACGGATCACCTGATGGTAAGCAATCGACGTCGCCCATGGGTACTCGAAACGCCAGATGTGCTGTAAGTGTATTACCGGCCTTTTGGGAATTAGCAATTTGAGGATAGAGTAGATGTTTAATTTTTATTTCAATGTCCGTCTGGTAGATTATTGTAAATCATTAGACACGCATTTTTTATTTTGTTACAGAAACGTATGCTTTCGACGATATATTGATTTGAAATGTCGCGTGACGTCACTTCTGTGTACATTTTACACGTAGAAATGACGTTTTAGTCCCCACTCCTAAACTTTGATTCGTTTTATCAAAGTATTGTTTTATTATACAACAAAATAAAAAAATACGTGTCTAATATTTTTTCATTACCTAACTTACGGACTAATTAGATTTTGACTTTCATACACTGTCATCATCCCTATTATTGGGGTTTGGTAATGTATCCTGATTATATGTTTGTTATCACGTTCACAAAAACTCAGTTTACACAGTCTGAATACACCACATTCTTAAATTTCAGGCCATATTTTCTAAAGAGGACAATGATTATAAAGTATTGATCAAAATACTGGCAAATTTAGAAACGGTTATTGAAGAAAATTCTAGCAATCTGGATCAACGACAACTGTCCTTGGTAAGTGACGTAACATAACATAACAACACGCCTATTATCCCCGAAGGGGTAGGCAGAGGTGTACATTACGGCACTTACTGCCACTGTATAATGTAACACCCACTTTTCACTTTTTATGTTATGAGTCCCATGTAATAGGGGGTGAACGTATTGCCATATACCGGGCACAATTCCAGACTCCGTGCTACTACTGAGATTTTTTTTTAAATCCAGTCATTACCCGTTCCCTCGGGCCCTTGCAGTCGTACTTGCGACCACTCGGCCAACGAGTTCAGTGCAACGTTTGTCAGTGGTATCTAGATAATCTTAGAAAGTACATATAACTCGGAAAATGTCACATTGGTACTCGCCGTTGGTAGGTTTCGAGCCGACACTCTCATACCTGAGAAGCGGGCGTCTTAAACCTCCGAGCCACAACGACATTATTAATAGCATTTCAATATTCGGGCATTAAAAGGAACGAAAGTAAAGTTTTCAAAAAATGTTTACTTATATTTTTGTCTTTGTATTTTCAGGTAATAAATCAGATAGACAGACTGAAATATAAGATTGTTTTAGATAACAAGGATGCGAGAGTATTTCAGAAAGATGTCATCATGTTCTTGGGTAAGGCTTTATCTTAAAACAATAGTTCGCACACGTAAATCGCAAATCACACATCGCTTACCACCAGGCGAGATAGAGGTCAAACGTCGGCCCAACAAATCTATATATATAAAAGAAAGTCGTGTTAGTTACACTATTTATAACTCAAGAACAGCTATATCGATTTGGATGAAAATTGGTGAGGATGTAGCTTAGAACCAGGAGACGGACATAGGATACTTTTTACCCAATACTTATTTTTTACTTTTAACCGAAAATCAAGAACGGGTACGGGAAATATCGGGATTGCGCGTATGAAGTCGCGGGCAGAAGCTAGTATTAAAAAAATGTATATATACCTCACGCTCCGGCTCGAAGTGCAGGAGTAGGAACAGGGTGGTTTTTAGGATTGGATGATTTTCCCCCCTCAAAAGAAAGGGTATCCTTGGCTTCATAGTAATTGAAATAAATATTTTGTATTTTTCCCCATTTTTTATAATAACTATAGTGAGACATACTAAATTAACTAAAATCGCGGGTTTCTCACGTGAATATACTGAGATAAGTTCTACTAGTTTCGAACCACATCTTCCTCATGAGCAGCGTGCGCGGTCGTGGCGATATCGCGTAGCCTACTGGCTATCGTTGGCGCTCGCATCGGTGTTGCTACTTGCGCTGCGAGCCCACCGCACCTAGCAGAAACTAAACTGAGAAGTAAAAATAAACAAAAAAAAAGAAAGTGTAGAAGCGACACTAGTAGAGCTTTATTTAGTATATTCACGTGAGTAACCCAATTGGGTATTTGAATAACTAGTTCAACAAATTCAATACTTTTTTAGACCTACAAAAAACGACAGTTTTCTATGAATTTTGTACGAGATTGTGTATTGTGGCGTCACGTTTTTTTAGCGTCAAACAGCATAGTTATTTCTTAAAAAATTGCTGGAAAAATACTAAAATTAAGTTGGTCATAAAATCAATTAATGAAAGTGTGATTATTTTTTTATATTTCATTGTATTGAACAGTCGAAATAATTTATTTTTGACTAAGGAAAGTCATAAATTTTGTTTGTTTTCAGCAAAATATGGCCAAATGTGTCTGCAAGGAAGTTTCTCTGAAGATATGTACACATTGAAATTAAAGAATAAAGTTTATTTCAATATACCTAATATCGTGCAAGGTTCTACTTTGAAGGTATGTAGACTTTTTTAACCGACTTTTTTTTATGGCATAAGCCGGTAAACGAGCAGACGGATCACCTGATGGTAAGCAATCAGCGTCGCCCATGGACTCCTGGAACACCAGAGGCGTTACAAGTGCGTAGTGCCTTTTGGGGAATTAGGAGTTTGAGGATCGTTGGGGATTCAGGAATTGGAGGGATTGGGGAAGGGGAGGGTAATTAGGCCTCCGGTAACCTCACTCACACGACGAAACACAACGCAAGCGTTATTTCACGTCGGTTTTCTGCTCGGCCGTGGTATCACTCCGGTCGAGCCGGCCCATTCGTGCCGAAGCATGGCTCTGCCACACTTAAAAAGTAAAAATAGGAGGTTGTCAGTTTGACTTGTGTGTTATGTATGTATGGTTTGTGTACGACTATGTCGCGATTGGTTTAACCGACTTGATGCTGTGTTTAGAAAAGTGTTCATTATACTTGGGAGAAAAATTTTAGTATATTATTTTAGTAATTTAACTCGTCGAGTACCGTCATTATAGACACAATTATAGAACAATAGGTTGCGGTCACCGGTGACCGCTTGGTGTTTGACAGTTTAAAAAGAGGGGGTTGTATTCGGTTTTTGAAACGTAGTTTTTAAAAGAATTGAATTATTTTTAAGAAAACTGCACAGTTGGTGCAGTGGCTCTGCAACCGGCTGCCGCGCAACGTGTCGTGGGTTCGACGCCCACAAGCAACTCTTTGTGTAATCCACAGATTGTAGTTCCGTGTCTGTGTGTGATGTAGAGGTATATGGGAACTTGTATGTTTGTAAACGCACCCACGACACAGGAGACAATACTAGTGTGTAGCGACTTTTTTTTTAATACTTGATTTGATTTTTTAGTATTACCTGGTTTTAAAAAAAATTCTTAGTAGTAAGCACGGAGTCTGGAATTGTGCCCGGTATATGGCAATAGGCTCACCCCCTATTACATGGGACTCATAACATACATAGTTAAAAGTGGGTGTTACTTCTGTGTGCACCTCTGCCTACCGCTTCGGGGATAAAAGGTGTAATATTTGATTTTGTTTTTAGATCGATATACAAAGAATTCTCCAACTATGTCTGTTACGCGGCGAGACCGACGCCTTGTATTGTTTGCTGATTATATTAACAGCTCATTGTAAGTATTTCTTCATCGCAAATAAAATTAACATTCACTTTATGTTGTATATCATTAATGTCGTGGTGGCCCAGAGGTTTAAGACGCCAGCTTCTCATGCATGACGGTGTCGGCTCGAAACCTACCAACGGCAAGTACCAATGTGACTTTTTCCCAGTTATATGTACTTTCTAAGATTATCTAGACACCGCTGACAAACGGTGAAGGAAAAACGTCGTGAGGAAACCTGGGCTTATAATTTTTAATTATAAGTTTGAAATCGCCAACCCGCATTGAGCAAGCGTGGTGATTAATGCTTAAACATTCCCTGTGTGAAAAGAGGCCTTTGCTCAGCAGTGGCCACTTATAGGCTGTTGATGAGTGAATCTTTACCTGATAGCGCAGTGGCAACGTGTTTTGAGTTCGATTCTGCAGATAACAATTCTTTATGTGATTTTCCTATGTAGTTTTTGTACTGGGGCTGCGTATGTGAGTATATTAAATAACCTGGCTATATGATTATGCTCGACGGTCGCCCTTATTTCTTTTTTTTGTTAATTTTTTTTCTGTCTGCCTCGTTGGCCGAGTGGTCGCAAGTGCGACTGCCGGGCTAGGGGTCTCGGGTTCGATTCCCGGGCCTAGCAAAATATTGCTGTGTTTAAAAAAAAATCTCAATGTTAGCACGGAGTCTGGAATTGTTCCCGGTATATGGCAATAGGCTCACCCCCTATTACATGGGACTAATAACATAAATAGTGAAAAGTGGGTGTTACTTCTGTGTGCACCTCTGCCTACCCCTTCGGGGATAAAAGGCGTGATGTTATGTTATGTAATTATAATACTAGCTGTTGCCCACGACTTCATCCGTATAGAGTAAGATTGCTGTTTTATCCCATGGGAGCATTTAATCGAGATAAGAAGTATCGTGTGCATTACCCAGGCCAGATGTTGTCGAAAATGGTCTTCAAATGATCTATATCTTATAGATAATTAGTTGTCCGGGTTCTGTAATTGTTGCGCACATTTTTAAATTTGTTGCGCTTATAGTTTTTTAATTATTTCACAAAAACATTTCCTGCTGGGGTAATGTTACCCCAGCCAGACCTTTTTCTTTCTAATGGGAATATTTAAATAATTACTAGCTATAAAATTAGTTGTCTAGATGAAGTAAATGTTGTGCCTTATTTTGTATTTGTTCTTTCATCGGTTGCTAGGTTATTCGAGGTTTTGCTGGGGTAACGTTTTTGGTTTTGCTAGATCTTTGAGATGGTTAAGCGGATTCTTATCATGGACTTAGCTTATTTAATATTTCTACACCAGAAATGGTAGTATATGTGTTTCTATGTCATTGTAAGATCTCAGTGTACCATGTACTTAGAAATAAATACATCTTTATCTTTATCATATTTTGTACATGGCTAACATAATACATACCTGACGAACAGATAAAAATTCTAAAAACTATATTTTTGGTTTCGATATCGACTGTAGATGACGCCCCAAACATTCTTTTAAAAGAATATTCGATGTACAGTTTACACTTTCCTACGATTTTATAATATGTTATTATTTTCAGTACACGACCGTCCCGACCCTGATTTACAAGAAGCCACGATTCGATTTATTCATGAAATCTTCAGGAGTATATCAGGGAAGAGTGAGACAGACATAGCCGTGCATCCCGCTCTGTTTATGTGTAACACAACTGCCTGTGTTCAGAGTATTATAAAGGTAAGCAAAGTAAAACTGCCATTTCTTATGACCTTCCTCTAGTATCCCCTATACCGTAGCCCCTATGCACAACACCCCATGACTTATCCCCTAACCCCATTCCCCGTCCCTTAACCGTATCATCTATCCTGAATCTCGTATCCCCGTCCCCCATCCCCCGTCTCTTACACCCGCATCACGAATCCCCAAAAGGCCGGCAAAGCACTACTCGTAACATCTTTGGTATTGCGGGTGTCCATGTACGGCGCTGATCAAGTAATCCACCTGCTTCCCTTATTTCGTAAAATAAAAATACATGCTCAGAATCAACTGTCTTACTCTTGTTCCAGGGTATCACTGAAGAACTAGACCCAAAAGTACGTAGGAAATTATCAGAGCACCTTCAGCTCCTGCTCACCCAAGATCCTGGCTCGGAGACCACGGGGGAACTCCTCAACGTGGTTGCTGAACATTCCTCCTTCATGATGGCAAGGGATGAAGGTTAGTTGTAGTCAATATTCCCGCGCGGTTTCACTCGATGCCTTAGCCTATAACCTTCTCGATAAATGTACTATCCAACGCAAAAAGAATTATTGATATCGGACCTTATAAGTTACGGAGATTAGCGCGTTTAAACCTCCTTCAAGTTTGACTGTATTTTATTTTTTTATGTTTGGTACTCGATTACTCGAAGACGCCTGGGCCGATTTCAAAAATTTTTTATTTATTTAAAAGGATAAGCTTGTTATTTGGGCCCATTGTCAAAAAGTCAGGATCTAATAAAGGAATCTCAGGGCAACCGAAGGGAACTTTTAAAAATTATATGGGTGACTAGTGCATTTGTTAAGTATTTAACACCACTACAATCTGATGAAGGTCTGGAGACGATCTGATGATGGAGCTGAGAGCCAGTCGAGGGAACTCCTCAACCGTTAACAGTAGCTATCTTGTGTTTGGGTTTGAATAATTTGTACTGATAAGGACTCTACACCTAGATGTGAGACGACTCCTCAATGGTTAACAGTAGCTACCTGGTGTTAGAGCTTGAATAATTTGTATTGATGAAAACTGTGCACCCATGTGGGTTGTACATAATATAATATATTCTGTACTAAACCAAAAAGTACAAAATAAAAATAAAAACTTAAAATATACCGACTACCGACTACAAAAACCAAAAAGAAACGAAAAGTAAAAACTAAAAAGCAAATATAACTATTATTGGTTATACGTACTTATAGCTTACACACCCACTAGTAGGTTAGAAGTCGGTGCCTCTGATTATCTTTTTGCAGCTTACGACCTACCACATACATTTCTGCACTACCCAAATGATGACTGGCAGAGAATGCTGTTTGCATTATGCAATTGTATAAAACATAGATAAATAAATAATTAATGTATTGTATTCTTACTTTCAGCATCATTTCATCTACCAGACTTGGACATACTAAGAGCCTTCCTACAATCAATTGTAGACAACAACGCCTTAATAACAGAATATTTACCAAAAATACTAATTTTCACGTCAAAAATAAACGATGCGACTGACATTTTTGAAAACGCATCATACAGTTTGATAGAAAAGATCGACCTTTTTACACACGATCAAATTTTAGAGGTTATCAAAAAAGTGATTGAGAATTATTCAGTAAATCTTGTCAATACAGAATTGATTATAAATAATTCTGAATTGATAGTAAGCTTCATAAAACGTGTTTTTGAAATCAAAGAATTTGGCGTGAAAATCATAATTGACATTTTATTGTCAATGTTGCAACCGTTAACTGTTATTTCGCCGCAATTTTCGCATCTGGTAACATTGTTAGTATATTTGAATTTGACGTTTGAATTCGATAACGGCCTTCGGAGGATCATCGTTGAATTTGAAGATTTGAAAATTTTGGAACAATTATTGAAGATGAATAATTTTGAAGAAAACGAAATGAATGCTGGTTTTTTGTTCCTAAGAGAATTCGCCGACGAATTGTTAGAAGTCAGTAGCGAGGTGAGATTTTTAATAGCTTTTGTAATTTTTTTTTATTGCCATTCATATTTTGGCATTTTGGTTTAAGTGGGTAAAGGTAAAGCTACAGATCAACGGAGTCCTGGGTTCGACCCTCGGGGGTCGGGCAATAATGACAGATGAAAATGTATATCTATAGTTATTAGTTGCATATAATAAGGATTGGCAACTAAAGTCATTTCCGGGGCGTTCAAACAGACTTCTTGTTTTAAGGAATTCAAATCCAAAAATATTTTAAGAATGAGAAATTTCATATTGACTTGCATATTCTTTTTAATAATTATTTACTTTATTAAATTCAATATAATACAAGCCGGTAAACGGCTCACCTGATGGTGAGCAATCGGCGTCGCCCATGGACACCTGGAACACCAGAGGTGTTACAAATGCGTTACAGGCCTTTTGGGGATCGCAAATATGAGGATTGTCGGGGATTCAGAGATTGGGGAGATTGGGGAAGGGTGTGGGGGTAATTGGGCGGAGGCCCACCGGAGGGTAACATTACTCATACGACCAAAAAACAATGCAATCGTTATATCACGTCGGTTCTCTGCTCGGTCGTGGTATCACTACGGTCGAGCCGGCCCAATCGTGCCGAAGCCATAGCTCTTCCACAGCACCTTACTTTATAAGTTAACTTACTTTTTATGTTTGTTTGTTTCAGAAAACATACCAGTGCCTTGGTCTTTTAATCGAAAACGTAACTCCACAGTCTGTAATAACATTAAAAAGTAATATAACAACATGTCTGTCCGTATACCAATCAAAACAAAATTCTTTAAGCCCAATCAACGAAAATATTCAAAATTGGTTCAAAAAAATTAATATCGAAGAATTGATAACCCTAATCGAAAAATGGTTCAAAAGCGTCAACCCTGACGAATTGATTACCGACATTGAAACGAGGGAATCATTCGCAAACGTCACAAAAGAAATTTCTGAAAAAATACACGCATTAAAAATCATGTCTGAATATTTCAAATTCGTATTTGATGCGAAAAATTTGACTTTTATTGCTATCGAAAATATCGACGAAAAATTGTCGAAAATTCTCTTGATCGACTTGCTGATAGTTTGCGAGAAACATTTGTCTGACGAAGACTTTTTGTTTGTATTACAAAATAAAATTGATTTCTTGAAAAATCATGTCGGCGTGTTTTTCAAAAGGATTATTTCTAAGCCATATGTTATTAAAAAGGAAGAGAGTTTAATATTAATTGATGTTATGAATTATTTCGCTACTGCGTTCGACAAAGATTTTTATCAAGATGTACTGGACTTTATTGATTATGTAAGTATATTAATTACTAGCTACTTCCGCGCGGTTTCACACGCTCTGCTCAGCTCCTATTGGTCTTAGCGTGATGTTTTATAGCCTATAGCCATCTTCGATAAATGCAATATCCAACACAAAAAGAATTATTCAAATCAGACTTGTAGTTACGGAGATTACCGCGTTCAAACAAACAAACAAAAAAACAAACTCTTCCGGTTTATATAATACCTCTAGTATAAGATTACAACACCCTTTTACTTATAATAAATGACTGCACGGTCGGTGCGGTGATTGTATGTTTGTCAACGCACACACGATACAAGTTCACATACACATAACACCCAGACCCGGAACATCAATCTGTGGATCACACAACGAGTTGTTCCGTGCGGGAATCGAACCCGCCACACGTTGTGCGGCAGCCAGTTGCCCAACCACTGCGCCAATCGTGCAGTCGAACCGATCGAATTAAAAAACTATAAGCGGCACAAATTAAAAAATGTGCGCAACAATTACAGAAGCCGCACAACTAATTATCTATAAGATTCAAATGACCATTTCGACAACATCTGGTCTGGGTAACGTACACGTCAAACCCATTTAGTTGTCTACTCTCTCACTCTCTCTGTAGACAAGCGCTAAAGTGGCGTTTGGCTAAAGGCACTGAAGGTGTTTCAAGCGGCGTTACAAGTGCGTTACAGGCCTTTTGGGGATTAGGAGTTTGAGGATCGTTGGGGATTCAGGCATTGGAAAATTTGGGAGGGGAAGGGGTAATTGTAATTGTTTTTTGTGTTACAACTGGCAAATAATTACCTACAAGCTTCCACTTTATTGAAAAAAAAAAACATTCTAATTTCAAAATTACTTTTCAGTTATGGCCCTCGTTTCAAGAATCAACCGACTTCGAAGGTAAGCTGTCAGTACTTACAAATGTTCTAAGGTTGCCTGAAACTGTGGACTTGAGTTGTCCACCGGTGGTCTGGGCTTCTACTCTGCTGACTTCTCAACAAACGAGTCTTAAAGATAAGATCAAAATACTTAACGCTTTACCAGCTGGCGAACAGTTCAGGTTAGTAAACAATATTGAAATTCTATACATAATATTAAAATATGACGCTTTTTATTCCCGAAAGGGTAGGCAGAGGGTGTGCGTTACCCAGGCCAGATGTTGTCGAAAATGGTCATTTGAATCTTATAAATAACTAGCAAACCCGGCGAACTCCGTTTCGCCACCAGATGGCTTCGTTTTATGTAACATTTCGTTTGGTGATTAAAAGATAAAGAATGTTTCTTTTTCTTGAATTTTCTTTTCTATAAACCTCACGGAGTCCGAGGCCTTTTCAACGAATGCAAAATCGTGGAAATCGATTAGTGCGATCTGGAGTTATAGCGTCAGGAAGGAAAACCCGACTCATTTTTATATAGTAAATTAGTTGTGCAGCTTCTGTAATTGTTGCGCACATTATTAAATTTGTTGCGCTTATAGTTTTTTAATTATTTCACAAAAACATTTCCTGATGGGGTAACGTTACCCCAACCAGACCTTTTTCTTTGTAATGGGAATATTTAAATAATTACTAGCTATAAAATTAGTTGTCTAGATGAAGTAAGTGTTGTGCTTTGTTTTGTATTTGTTCTTTCATCGGTTGCGAAGTTATTCGAGATTTTGCTGGGGTAACGTGTTTGATTGTGCTAGATCTTTGAAATGGTTAAGCGTATTCATCTGGCCTGGGTAACGCACACAGGCAGAGATGTACATTACGGCAGTTAATGCCACTGTACAATGTAACACCCTAACACTTTTCACTATTTATGTTATGATTCCCATGAAGTAGGGGTTGAGCCTATTCCCATTAATTTACCGGGCACAATTCCAAACTCCGTGTTACCACTGAAATTTTTTGAAAAATCCCAGTAATACTTTACCTCTTGCCCGGCAGTCGCACTTGCGACCACTTGGCCAACAAGGCAGTCTAATTTTTATACATAACATAACATCACGCCTTTTATCCGCGAAGGGGTAGGCAGAGGTGCACAATGCACATTACGGTACTTAATGCTACTGTACAATGTAACACCCACTTTTCACTATTTATGTTATGAGTCCCATGTAATAGGGGGTGAGCCTATTGCCATTTACACAATTTCAGACTCCGTGCTACTACTGAGATTTTTTGAAAAATCCCAGTACATAATACTTTATCCCTTGCCCGGCAGTCGCACTTGCGACTCGGCCAACGAGGCAGTCTAATTTTTATTTTCTTTGATATTTCAGCTCCTTATACCGTGCTTTCGCCACAAATGTCCCGGTGCGTATATCAGAAATAGAAGGCAATGAGAAGTATGTACCAGCGTTCAGAGCTGTGCTCGACTCCCTAGCGATAAACGGTGACATGACACTACTTGATATCGTCCTCACTTTAGCTAGAGGTAAAAAAATTGCACTAATTAGGGCAAAAACGAATTTAAAAGTTTTATTGCCTAGCATTTATGGCCATACAAACTTAAAGTGGATACAAAATTTCAGCTCAATCGGTTGAAGATATCCGCTTCACAATACGGTAGTTGACAGGTAGTCAAATTCAATACTGTTATTGAAATGTCAAAAACGATACTTTTCTATAAATTTTGTATTGGATCGCAACTTGTGACGTCATTATATTTCTGCGTCAAATAGCATACTTATTTCCTTAAAATTTGCGAGAAATAATCCAAAAGTAGGTAAATTGTCAAATCAATGGATGAGAGTATGATTATTTCTTAATTATTTATTGCATTGAAAAGTTTAAACAATTTATTTTATACCTAGGAAACTAGCCAATTGATTTGCAAGATTCCATTTCATACACACACACAGATTCAGTACAGAGACAGTAACCATTGGTTGTCTAGAGCCGACCAATGCTTACAAAAAATATGGCGTCGTTACAGAGCATACAATTTAATATAACGATAACTACTGTCTCTGTACTGAATCAATCTTTGTTTTCCAAGCTTTTATTTATTGAACTTGCATTGTATGCTCCACCAACAAAACTATGTAACTAGAGAATTGTATTGTAAACCTGATTGAAAAAGAGTAACCTGTGGAGTTTCTTGCTCGTTCTTCAACGTTCAACAACACTTCTCGTTCACAACTTCCACTTCAACTTCAACAGGAAACTACACCTTGGAATGAGCAAAAAGCTTCAGTTTTAATTTTATTTGTTGACGTTCAAAAGTGCCTTCCTGGTCTAATTGAAATAAATTATTTTGACTATGTATGTTTGTGTGTGAAGTGGAATCTTGCAATTAAATTTTGAAGCAGATATCTTCAACCGATTGAGCTGATATTTTGTATACACGTCTAGTTTGCATGACCATAATAGGGTAAATGACTAATTTTTATTTTAATGTCCGTCTGGTAGATTATTTTAAATCATTACACACGTATTTTTATTTTCTTACAGAAACGAATAGTTTCGTCGATATATTGATTTCAAATGTCGCGTGACGTCACTTCTATGTACATTTTATACGTAGAAATGACGTTTTAGCGCCCACTTCTAAACTTTGATTTCTAAGTATTGTTTTCTTATACGACAAAACAAAAAAATACGTGTCTAATATTTTTTCATTATCTAACTGACGGACTAACGCGACCCGCGACGCGGGACTGTCGCGCTGCTACTCTACAGTCGCCGCGTCGCGGGTCGCGAAATGCTGCTCATGAATATGAGCCTCTAGCATGGCTTGAAACTAGTCGAGTTCCTCGTCAAATTACTACGTGAGTAAGCCGAAAACATAATAATTTATTGAGTATGTCTCACGAAAGTTACAGGACAAATTAGATTTTTAATTTTCATACCCTGTCACCATCCCTATTGCTCGAAAATAAGCTTTCATATAGCTATATGAAAGCTTATTTTCGAATGTATTATAATGTGGCTTTCAGGTGACGAAACGAAAGGTTGGTGGGATTACGCATTCAGTGCTTGTATGAAATCTTTAGCAGCCAAAGAAGACATTCGAATACTTAACGTGGTTTATAAAAAAGTAGTTGAAGAATCACCGTCTATGACTGTTTGTAATAGAATTCTTTTACCGTTGCTCGGGTAAGTGGTTTCATTTTTTTCAGTAATCAGTAATCAAATATTTATTGCATCCATAATGTACACATACAGGTGGTTAGAAAAATACAAATAGTAACAATTATGGACCATGTCGGGCACAGCAACATTTAAAATTGGTAGGAGAGAGGAAGGGCGTTTCGTTAGATTACTATTAATGTTTATTTTTCAATAGTATTAAGTTATTTACTTTTTAGCTTACACTAGCTTGTCAAATCAGTCAATTATGTAGTCAATTTATCATTTAGAAATTCGTCTAAGGTGTAATAACATTTTTTAATCAAATATTGTTTTAATTTTCTCATAAATACATTGGTCTTTTCTATTTCTTTTAAGTATTCTGGTAATTTGTTATAAATTTTTATCGACATAACGTAGGGGCTAGAGGAGTGCTACTTAGGGTTAGAGCGAGGCAAGTCCAATCTGTTTTTATGTCAGAGCGAGTGGCTTGATATCTTAACATTAAACTTAAACATCGCTCCGACTTCTTTTTTAATTTACAGATGTATTACCTGATGGTAAGCAACAAGTGCGTTACCGGCCTTTTAGGGATTAGGAAATTGAGGATTGTTGGGGATTCAGGGATTGGGGAGATTGGGGAAAGGGGAGGGTATTGGGCCTCCGGTTACCTCACTCATACGACGAAACAATGCAAGCGTTATTTCACTTTGTATTTCTGCTTTTGTTGGTTGAAATAAATGCTTTGACTTTAATGACTTTTAAATGTATTATCACCGTAATTTTCAGGCATACATCTCGAAAATTCTTCGAAGAATATCTTTGTACGATTATCACAGAATTACTACAGACACTAAAATCTGACGTCATTGAAATAAGTGACTCAAAATACTGTAAGAAGCGTCTCATTAAATATGCAATTGTTGTCAACATATTGAAGATTGCTTTCAATAATGTAAGTTGCACGTAATACATAAAATATATTATTTATATAAACGGTTTTATGAACTCTGTTCTACCAATCAAGCCCTTTCGTTTGGTATCCATATAATATGAGGATTTGAGGTAGCTAAGAAGGTGTCCGTTACCCAGATGGTCAGATGTTGTCAAAAATGGTCATTTGAATTTTATAGATAATTAGTTGTGCGGCTTCTGTAATTGTTGCGCTTATAGTTTTTTAATTTTTACTGCTGGGGTAACGTTACCCCAGCCAGACCTTTTTCTTTCTAATGGGAATATTTAAATAATTACTAGCTATAAAACTGGTTGTCTAGATGAAGTAAATGTTGTGCCCTATTTTGTATTTGTTCTTTCATCGGTTGTGAAGTTATTCGAGATTTTGCTGGGGTAACGTTTTTGGTTTTGCTAGATCTTTGAAATGGTTAAGCGGATTCTTATCATATTTGGTACATGGCTTCTCAATAAGAGCTCTAAAGACTTACTTTAAACGTTATTTTAAAGCTTGTAACTGCCTTCAAATGTATGTGAAGTTTCATTAGTATCCTGTAAGTATTGAACAAGTTATGATGTTACTTAGTTCTTTACGAGCACAGTCTTGATGCGCGCGGTGTTATTTCGGCTGACACTGGATTGGATATATGAACTGAATGCTAAGTCAATAATTAGTTGTTTAGTTCAGTTATATTTCAGCTCAGTACATTGGATAATTAATGAGATAATACGATTAAAGGCATTAGGAAGTCAATGACCGTGGTAACCCGACCAAGACCAAAACAGACTTTTTTTTAAAAGAGTAACGAATGGAGTTTCTTGCTCGTTCTTCTCCACTCGAATCGACATTTTGGAACGAGCGCCTAGCTTCACTGACGGACAGACTGACAGACTATTATATATCTCATATTTGTTGACGTTTCAAAAGTACCAAATTATGGTCTAATTGAAATAAATGCTTTTGAGTTTGAGTTTGAAGTTTAAGTGGTTACGAAAAAGCGAACGAAGACACTATTTTTTTTTATTTATTTGCAGTTATCAACGGCCTGTTTAGAGAGAGGTGTAATAAACGAGCGGGCGGGCTCCACAGCCCCGTGGCATTTCTTGAAGACTACGTGCAAATATTGTGTCACTGCCAGTCGCAAGGTTAAGTGCCCGACTGACGCTAGCGAGGAACCCAAGCAGATTTGTCTGTGAGTAATGTTATTTATCTTTTTTTTTTTACAGATATGACCACCACGCCGAGTGGTCGTAAGTGCGACTGCTGGGCAAGGGGTCTCGGGTTTAATTCCCGGGTCGGGCAAAGTATTACTGGGTTTTTCAATAAAATCTCGATAAAAACACGGAATCTAGAATTGTGTGTGACTGACATAATTATGAGTTATGACAATAGGCTCACATCCTATTACATGGGACTCATAAAAGAAATATAAAGACTGCCTCGTTAGCCGAGTGGTTGCAATGCGACTGCTGGGCAAGGGGTTTTGGGTTCGATTCCCGGGTCAGACGAAGTATTACTGGGTTTCTTTAAAACTCTCAGTGGTAACACAGAGTCTGGAATTGTGCCTGGTATATGGCAATAGGCTCACCCCCTATAACGTGGGACTCATAACATAAATAGTGAAAAGTGGGTGTTACATTATACAGTTGCTTTAAGTGCCGTAATGTACACCTCTGTCTCACCCTTCGGGGATAAAAGGCGTGATGTTATGTTATGTAATATTATTTAACTTGCGATGTATGTGTGTGAGGTGGAATCTTGCAACTGAATTATGAAACAGATTTTACGGCTGACAACGTTTTTTTAAAAGAGAAAGAGATGAGAAGAGACATGCAACTAATTATGCTAAAACTTAGTTTGCATAATGATAAATGCAGTTTAGCATAAATACTTCTTTGTAAAAAGATTCAAATATAAAATTATTTCTCAACAGTTGGTTGCAAACTACTTTATACAACTGTCTAAGTACTGCCATCTGTCGGTGGCAGATTACCGAAAAATTGTGCGCTGAACTATTTAACGTCGACGTGTGGGCAAGAATAGTGGACAAAGAAGCTGTTCATCCTTTCTATTTGAAGTCTTATGTGAGGTCTAGGGTGAGTACATAATCTTACTAATATTATAAATGTGAACATGTGAGTATGTTTGTTTCCTTCATGGCATATATAGCATATGGCAAATGGGTGTCGCGGAGAACCTAACGGGTAACCGGGGCTCCGGCTCGACGTGCAGGAGAAGGAACGGGGTGGTTTTTAGTCAGTAAGAGTCTGACACTCCCTCCCGCTTCACCCAGGCGGGAGTAGTCATTCGATGATTTTCCCCCCTTAAAAAAAAATGGCAAATGGGTAAACGAGCAGACGGATCACCTGATGGTAAGCAATCGGCGTCGCCCATGGACACTTGGAACACCAGAGGCGTTACAAGTGCGTTACCGGCCTTTTGGGGTTTAGTAGGTTGGAGGATTGTTGGGGATTCGGGGACCGGGGAGATTGGGGAAGGGGGTAGGGAGCTGGGCCTCCGGTAGCCTCACTCACACGACGAAACACAACGCAAGCCTTGCTTTACGTCGGTTTTCTGTGAAGACGTGGTATCACTCCGTTCCACTACACTCCAATTTTATTCATATATATATGTATATAGATATTATATATAAGGTGCTCTATAATTATCAGCCACGGCTTTAATGGGAGGTAGTGTTATGTTTACAGATTATAATTGTGAAGAAATTTCGTACCCCGGCCCAGTCAATTACATAAAGTAATTAAGTAAACATTGACTACATTCTGCATAATGTGGTTCACAAATTACGCGCGATCCGTCGTCGCTTAGTCAATGAAAACAATTGCTATCTCTTTCCACGTGTACTGAGAATGAAAACGGAAATCAGCTGACTAGTTCGTCACTATCTAATCTACTAGATACTCAATAGGCAGGCTAACTAGGGTTTTAAAAGTGCAATTACTTACCAGGTACGGCATTCTTCCGAAAAGCTGATGTATGTAAATAAGATTATAAACATCCCATTACACTTAAAAAAGTTTTTTTACACACTTTTACAGTTATTTACACACTCTCTACCTACTTATCTACAATACTGTTGCACAAGTCCACCTTCGCGTTGCACACAAATGAAGGCACGCTTCCAAACATGTCATATCACATTATGCAGCATGTAGTCAATGTTTACATAACATAACATAACATCACGCCTTTTTATCCCCGAAGGGGTAGGCAGAGGTGCACATTACGGCACTTAATGGCACTGTACAATTTAACACCCACTTTTCACTATTTATGTCATGAGTCCCATGTAATAGGGGGTGAGCCTATTGCCATATACCGGGCACAATTCCAGACTCCGTGCTACCACTGAGATTTTTGAAAAATCCCAGTAATACTTTGCCCGACCCGGGAATCGAACCCGAGACCCCTTGCCCGGCAGTCGCACTTGCGACCACTCGGCCAACGAGGCAGTCAGTCAGTCAATGTTTACTTAATTACTTTATGTAATTAACTGGGCCGGGGTACGAAATTTCTTCACTTTTGTAATCTGTAAACATAACACTACCTCCCATTAAAGCGGTGGCAGATAATTATAGAGCACCTTATATAGCTTGATGTATTTAGATGTTGGCATATGAATAAAGAATTATTATTATGTATGTCTTTACCATTCACGGGACCACAGGGTCCCGGTCATTTGGGAGGCGTACGAGGGGACGAAGCCAACTGCGCAGAGGCCCTTTAGACAACTTTAATCTAAATGTAATGGACACGCAAACCGGCGACTATCCCTGTATGCACTATGGAAATGCACCCAAGGATTATTATTGCCTTTATTTATTTTCATACTTGATTTATATATTTTTAAATATATCATTATATGTAAAAAAAAAACATTTAAAAATATAAAAAGCTATAGCCCACTAGTAACAGGAGAAATCCAAGCTACCGGTGGTCAGGGCTCCAGAGAAAGGAATTTCCGGACAATACGCGCCGTGTCCAGAAGTACTGCTTTTTGCATCAGGCCCTTGACCCAACCATGTAACGCTAGCCTACTCAGATGTTGGTCGACGCTTTTAGCAATGAGGCCATTGGCAGATACGATTATCGGCACAATGACTGCTGAATCCACATCTCATATGTCGACAATCTCATGAGCTAAATCAAGATATTTACTTGCTTTATCTTTTTCAGCTTTCACAAGATTCTCAGATTATTATTATTACTGTTAATTATTTTAATTTCCAGGACAGTGTTAGACCAGCGAAACGTGCACTGAACTCGATGGCCAGTACATCATCATTTACAGGAACTGTCCGCAGCACTATATTCCTGACCACGCTCTCCGAGAACCCCTTGCATTTTGACCTGTTGCCTAATGATGATGAAGAGGTATTTTTTTTATTACAATCTTTCATTTAACATTTGAATGGCTCATGGGCGCAAGTGCGATTGCCGAACAAGGGGTTCGATTCCCGGATCGGGCAAAATATTACTGGGTTTTTAATAAATTCTCAGTAGTAGCACTGAGTCTGGAATAGGGTATATGACTAATTTTTATTTTAATGTCTGTCTGGTAGATTATTTCAAATTATATCTGCTTAGCTATTAAATTCAAATTATATAAAAGGTTGTCCTTGAGATACTTATAAGTATCTTGTTAATTAATTTAGTTTTTATTTAATAATCAGTAGATCAATTTTACGATTCTTTTTTATTTAATAATCAGTAGATCAGTTTTACGATTTCTATTTCTACGATTTCTATCAATTTATCCATTCTACTTTAACCTCTACCTTCCTAAACGCGAACCACAATTTTCTTTACCACAGGAAGATGAAGACGAAATAATTTCAGAATTTGAAGATAACGCACTAAATTCACACGGCTGCTTATCCACTATAACGTATCTGCTTGAACATGCCAGCAAACTGGAGTATCACGGATGGAGAGACGCCATTGTTGCTGCGCTCTCTGCTGATCCCAACTTACATACTAATGCTAGGTGGATGATAGCACAGGTTAGTATTCATAAATCGATAAAGTATCGGAAATCCGATCCATAACATGCTGTGGGTAAGACACAATAAGCAGATAATGTATCGGAATACCGATCCACAATATGCTGTAGGTAAGATACAATAAGCAGATGATGTACCGGAATTCCGATCCGTAAAATTCTTTACGTAAAAATAATAAACAAGTAGTGTATCGGAATTCTGATCCTTAACATTCTGTAGGTAAGATACAATAAGCAGGTGATGTATCGGAATCCCGATACGTAACATGTTATAGTTAAGATACAATATGTGGGTGGCTTTTCTCAGTATATTCACGTGAGTAACCCGAAGAACGAAATATTCAGACTGTTGCCATATGGTTAGCAAAAATACATTAGCACATATATTATATTTTTTCTTATTTCAGGCTGTATGCAATGCGTCAGAGCACCTCAAAACGCACGCTACCGCCCTCTGTCCAGCGCTGTTCAAACTAGTAGCTGATACAAGCTTATCGAGCGCTGACAATGGAAAACCAGTTCTGAACAATCTACATGTTGAAGTTGTAAGTTCTTATTTTTATAGTATTACTTTTTTGAGGGGCCAAATCATTGAATTACTTCTCCCGCCTGGGTGAGGCGGGAGGGAGTGTCAGACTCTTACTGACTAAAAACCACCCCGTTCCTTCTCCTGTACTTCGAGCCGGAGCCCCGGTTACTTAACGGGTGTTAAGTTCGCGGCTTCGTATCGGCATCAGCCCTATTGAGCCCCATCCGTAGTGGTCTGATGAATCTAGGCATCGTGACTCTTTGGTGAATTTATGCGTTTATAAACGCACCCACGACACAAGCCACAACCACACACAGGGCCATGTTTAAAACATAACATAACATCACGCCTTTTATCCCCAAAGGGGTAGGCAGAGGTTTTACATTATACCGCTACAATGTAACACCCACTTTTCACTATTTATGTTATGAGTCCCATGTAATATGAGGTGCGCATATTGCCATATACCGGGCACAATTTCAGACTTCCGTGCTATCACTGAGAATTTATAAAAATCCAGTGATACTTTGCCCGACCCAGGAATCCAACCCGAAACCACTTGCCTGGAGTCGCACTTGCGACCACTTGAGACTGTTTAAAAGTAACTTTAAAATATCCAATGTCACGCTTTTTTACATTTGATGGACCAACGTTTGACCACTACCTCGCCTGGTAGCTTCAGAAGTAAAATATACCTACTATACTCTACACTGGACTGGACTTCACGGTTGGCACGGTAACTGGGCAACTGGCTGCCACGCAACGTGTCGCGGGTGCGATTCTCGAACGGAACAACGTTTTGTTTGATCCATAAATAGTAGTTCCGTGTCTGTGTGTGATGTGTATGTGAACTTGTATGTTTGTAAACACATGACTGACATGACACAAGAAACAATCATTGTGTGGGACAAAAGTTTTAAAAAAAGCTGTTAAAAAAATACGTTACTAGGATTACAAGGGCTGCAGTTCTGTACAGGAACAGGATGGTGTTTATTCAGTAAGAGTCTGACACTCCCTCTCGCCTCACCAGGGCGGGAGAAGACATTCGATGTTTTTCCCCCTAAAAAAAAATAGAATCTTCATCTTAACTTTTATATTTGCAGCTATCAACGATAATAAAATGGGACCTAAAAGATCTACCTCACACGCCAACCATGGATATATGCACAGAATATCTGATCAACACATGCATGGCAAATAAAACTAAATATTACATTCATAAGAGATTACTAGACATTTTAAATGGTCTCCTACAATTATATGGAAAACATATTAAAGTAAAATGGGACATATTTGAAGACTATTTACATGGTAAGTTTTAGTTGCACTGCTCTTCACGTTGGTTACCTCGTTGGCCGTATGGTCGCAATTACGACTGCCGAACAAGATTCGGGTTCGATTCCCAGGTCGGGTAAATTATTACTGGGGTTTTTCATAAAATCTCAGTAGTAGCACGGAGTCTGGAATTGTGCCCGGTATATGGCAATAGGCTCACCCCCTATTACATGGGACTGATAACATAAATAGTGAAAAGTGAGTGTTACATTGTACAATGGCATTGAGTGCCGTAATGTGCACCTCTGCCTACCCCTTCGGGGATAAAAGGCGTGAGTCCCATGTAATAGGGGTGAGCCTATTGCTATATACCGGGCACAATTCCAGACTTCGTGCTACTACTGAGAATTTATAAAAAACCAAGTAATACTTTGCCCGACCCGGGAATCGAAACCGAGACTCCTGGCCCGGAGTCGCACTTGCGATCACTCGACCACCAATGAGACAGGTGTAATACAACAATATTTTTTAATATTCCAGAGCTACCAAAATCACTTATACCAATCCTACCAATTTTCGAAAAACTACTAAAAAATGGCGTGTCCCTCCCGAACCTACTAGGCGCCACTTTCTCCAACTTAAACGCAACGCATTGGATAAATAATGGTACCAAGTTATCCGAAGTATCTGGTTTGGCACTTTCGAAAACAGATTCGGTGTCCAGAAGCGAAAATCTGGATGCATTCTGGAAAATTCTCGCTTCTGTGAGAACCAGTAATGTTGGGAGTTACATCAAGATGCTGTTTTATGCTCAGAAATCTTGCCCTGAATGCTGTGATGCGCATAATTTGAGGTATGTAACATACATAACATCACGCCTTTTTATCCCCTTAGGGGGATAAAAAGGCCTTTAGGGGTTTTTTTTTTAAGGGGGGGAAAATCATCGAATGACTGCTCCCGCCTGGGTGAGGCGGAAGGGAGTGTCAGACTCTTACTGACTAAAAACCACCCCGTTCCTTCTCCTGCACGTCGTGCCGGAGCCCCGGTTACCCGTTAGGTTCTCCGCGACTCCGAATCAGCATCCCCGAAGGGGTAGGCAGAGGTGCACATTACGGCACTTAATGCCACTGTACAATGTAACACCCACTTTTCACTATTTATGTTATGAGTCCCATGTAATATGAGCCGTATACCGAGCACATTTCCAGACTCCGTGCTACTACTGAGATTTTTAAAAACCCAATAATACTTTGCCCGACCCGGGAATCGAACCCGAGACCCCTTGCCCGGCAGTCGCACTTGCGACCACTCGGCCAACGAGGCAGTCAGTTTGAGGTATGTATGTGTATTAATCATTTTACCAATCCCCAATCTTCAATCCCTAACATAGATATTTTAGGGAACAGAGTAGGTACAGTTCCCTATGATCGGAAAAGGAGGATCCTCCGACCAGGCGAGGTATTCGTGCCTGGCGCGCTTTCTGCCCAACAGTTGTTCGTTGGGATTTTCTATCCGTGTTAATTCGCATGTAAACTTCACATGTGTGTTTGTGATGTAGGATTTTGTGACGTCATCTGTTGACATGTACCATGTGTCGCCATAATATAAACAATACATTTACGTTATGGAATAGGAGCAGAAGGATCACCTGATGGTAAGCGATCACCCACAACACCTCTTTCTTCTTTGATCTTTCTTTATTGAAACAAAGAGTTTCCTTTTTCTTGTATAGAAGCACTATTTCTATGGATTGTCAGTATGCATATGTGAGCACCATGTTAGACTTAAGATCTTTATTATTTTTATTTTTATTTTAGTAAGTTATTAGTATAATGCGTCAAGCGTGTCTTTGCATTGTTCTTACATATGCGTACAGTATTGAAATATGTATCAGAAACATTGTAGAACATACTTTTTTAAAAGAGTAACGAATGGAGTTTCTTGCTCGTTCTGCTCCATTCGAATCTACATTTTGGAATGAGCACCTAGCTTCATCTAGCATCACTGACGGACTGACTGACAGACTATTATTTATTTTGTATTTGTTGACGTTTCAAAAGTACCAAGCTATGGTTTAATTGAAATAAATGCTTTGACTTTGACTTTGACACCCACAACACCAGACGAGTCACAGCTGCGTTGCCGGCCTTTTAAAAAGGAATACGCTCTTTTCTTGAAGGTTTGAAGGTCGTATCGGTTCGGAAATACCGCCGACGACATATCATTCCACAGTTTTGCTGTGCGAGGCAGAAAAGCGCACAGTTGTGGCCTGCCGACCATCTTTATAATGAGAATGGATTTGCTGTCTTGAGTCGTTGGTGATAGGCTCGCCATGGCTCGACCGACTCGAGCGATACCACGGCCGAGTAGAAAATTGACGGCAAACAGCGCTTGCGTAGTGTTTCCTCGCATGAGTGTGGTTACCAGAGGCCCAATTAACTTCCTCTCCCCTAAACCCCCCAATCACTGAATCCCTCACAATCCTCAAATTCCCAATTCCCATAAGGCTGGTAACTGCTTGTAACGCCCCTGGGGTTTCAAGTGTCCATGTGCGACAACTAGTGCTTACTATCAGGTGATACGTGCGTTCGTTTACCGACTTATCCCTTAAAAAAATACATAAAAAATATATAATAAATGATATTTGTATGTATCATTATGACCTACACATATTTAGGACAACAATGATCTTAAACCTCCAAACCGTAATCTCCAATTAACCCTAATCGGGATTAGGGTTTGGGTATTATTAATTTTCTTTAACATCAATAGTGAAAAGTGGGTGTTACATGGTACAGCGGTATTAAGTGTCGTAGTCGCGGAGAACCTAACGGGTAACCGGGGCTCCGACTCGACGTGCAGGAGAAGGAACGGGGTGGTTTTTAGTCAGTAAGAGTCTGACACTCCCTCCCGCCTCACCCAGGCGGGAGCAGTCATTTGATGATTTTCCCCTTAAAAAAAAAAGAAATTAAGTGTCGTAATGTGTACCTCTGCTTGCCCCTTCGAGGATAAAAAGCGTGATGTTATGTTATGTGGTTTGTATGTATAGTTATCGATGCCCCATGTCCCAGTCCCCCAAGCCTCCAAATATTCCTATTAATATAAAAAAACGTGACATAATATAATAAAAATCTACATACATACATAACATCACGCCTTTTTATCCCCGAAGGGGTAGGCAGAGGTGCACATTTCGGCACTTAATGCCACAATGTAACACCCACTTTTCACTATTTATGTTATCAGTCCCATGTAATAGGGGGTGAGCGTATTGCCATATACCGGGTACATTTCCAGACTCAGTGCTACTACTTAATAAAAATCTCTTATTTCAGAATAATAACAGGTCTAGCGTCGAAAATAGAAAAGTCGAAATGTCTAACAATAATATCGACGTATCTGGAACATGCAGAAACCGTTGAAAATTTCAAAGATATTATAGACTTGATCAATTTAAAAGAACTCTTGGACAGTGACGTAAGAGTTGAGGCTATGAAAATAGCCAGAAATAGCCTGGAATACATGGATATAGATTTGAAAAAAGAAATTTTAAAATGTTTAGAACAAAACTGCCGAAGTTCGTCGACCTCTGTGCGGAAGGAGGCGTTCAGAGTATTTTTGAAAGCTTTCGAAGGTATGTATACATTTTTAAATTGGA